ACAGACCCCTTTTAATTGGGTAAATTCCCCCAGGTAGCAGCAGGTATTGTTAGAACTTGAGCTTAGAATCCATACACTAGTAATGAGCTCAAGGCTCTTTAAGTACATCGGAAATGGGCAAGGTAAGGATGGGGAGAGAATCGGGGGCAATCCTAGGGGATTGGGGGTAATCCCAAGGCAATCTCCAATTGGTGGGTTGGAGATTGCTTGGAGATCACATTTGGATTTGGTTGGGATGTGGGTGTACACCCAACCAAACACAAAGTGCACACTACACTAGGATATAAAAGTACAAGTACAAAATGTGAGATTGAGGGCTAACACTAACACCCCCCCATAGACGTCAATCGAACTCAAGGTGGAGAAGGTGGGGCACATAGCCCCATGGTGCCAAGGAGACGATGGTGAGGAACCTTCCCAAGGGGCTTGGTGAACAGATCAGCCAGGTTGCAGTCAGATGCAACGTACTCCACGTTCAACTGTTCACGCTGGACAAGGTCACGAATGAAGAAGTGGCGAAGTTTGATGTGCTTGGTGCGAGTGTGGTACACAGGATCCTGGGAAAGGTGGATAGTATTTTTGTTGTCAGACCAGAGGGTGGGGATGGGCTGACGGTAGCCAAGCTCCTTGAGGAGGAAGGTGAGCCAACGGGCCTCTTGAGCCGCCATGGTGCCAGCGTAAAGCTCTGCCTCACAGGAGGAGAGGGAGACTGCAGATGACCTGGTGGAGCGCCAGCTAACAACTCCACTGCCAAGGGTGAAACAGTAGCCCTGGGAGGAGCGGCGATCGGTCTGGTCATCAGCCCAAGAGGAGTCAGTGTAGCCTTCCAGGCGAGGAGGAGAAAGACCACCAAGTGTGAGGACATAAGACTTTGTGCCCTTCAGATAGCGCAGCACCCGCTTAGCCGCACTCCAGTGGAGTTCGGTGAAGCGTCCAGGAGCCACATAGCGAGAGAGGACACTGACAGGGTATGCCAGGTCAGGCCGGGTGCACATCATGGCGTACATGAGGGACCCAACAAGCTCTGGGTATGGCTCGGAGCAGGCCCCCGGTGTGGGAACAGCTGGAGCTGTGAGGAGGTGCTGCAGTGGTAGCGGGGTGGCCATGGGTGTGCCCAGCTCCATCTCGAAGCGCTTGAGTACATTGTTGATGTAGAACTCCTGGGAGAGTGAGATGGTGCAAGCCTGGCGATCACGAGTGATCTCCATCCCCAGGTAGTGCTTGAGGTCACCGAGGTCTTTCATCAGGAGGGCCTTGCTCAGGGCCACCTGGACAGAGGTCATCTGGGCCGAGTCCTTGGCAACAAGGATGAAATCATTGACGTAGACAAGGATGTAGAATGGCTCAGAGTGACGGCGAATGAAGAGGGTTGGGTCAGCTGAGGATGGGTGGAAGTCCAATGAGAGAAGGACTTCTTTCACTTTGTTGTGCCATTCACGAGGGGCTTGCTTGAGGCCGTAAACGGGGCGGTTACATCCAGGAGCGTGCGAACTGTGGGTGGTTTGGATGTGGGAGAGAAGGTTTTGAAGAAGTCAAAGTACTGCTGCTGAGTGAATCCCTTGGCCACATAGCGCGCTTTGAACACTGGGGCCTCGTCCGGAAGCTGCTTCACTCGAAACAGCCACTTGCCTCCAACGATGTTTACTCCTGGAGGTGGAGTTTCGTCGTCGAAGGAGTGGTTGCGAGTGAAGGCTTCACACTCAGCTTCCATGGCAGCGCGCCACTCGGCAGCATGGGGACCCGAAAGAGCCTCTTGGACGGTGAGAGGGATAGGGATGGTCGGGTTCTCCGAGAAGTTGAGCGAGAGTGATTCAGTGATATCGGGGAAGATGTGCGAGAGCTGAGGAATGACAGCGTGGAGATCACACAGCTCCTCATGCCTGTCTTCCAGAAAGGTAGAGGGCACATCCCCCCCAGCAGGAGGAATCGGAGTGATCACTGAGCATCGAATAGCAAGTGCCAGTGGAGGAGCAGCCCCATGCGACCGAGTGCCATGAGCCACCGGAGAAGAGGGTGGAGCAGGCGTTCCTGGAGGGGACGGTTTAGGAGGCCTGGGCGGAGGGATTGGTCGTCGCTGGTACGTGATTAGTTCGGGCGGTTGTGAGAGACCGGGTTCCTGAGTGGAAGGGGGGGCGGGGGGAGGCGGTGGGGCCGGAGGATTCGACCGCCGATGGTATGTGATTGGTGCGCTTGGTGGTGGGAGCTCAGTTGGTGGAGTGTGAGAGGGGAGAGGTGAGGGGGCACCTGCCGTGGACACCGGTGAGGTCGGGTTAGAGACCTCAGAGTGGGATGGTGCGATGGCAGGAGAGGTAGGAGGTGAGGGAGCTGGTGCAGGTGGAAGTTCAGGAGGTGTATCAAAGTCAGCCCACACATGAGAGGGTGGTCCGGAGGAAGGATCCCCCCCCGAGGAGGAGTAGAAGGGGCGAGTCTCGTCAAAGACGACGTCACGGCTCCGGATAAATTGTTGAGTAGTGGGATTGAGGAAGAGGTAGTCAGGGGAGCCGGCGTTATGCCCAAGATAGATGCACGTTTGAGTTTTGGGGCCGAGCTTGCCACCTTGCTGTCGCCGAGCCTGAGGGTTGAGGAGGACATAGGCGGTGCACCCCCATACCCGAAGGGGGCGAGCAGTGGGTGTTTTCCCGAGCCAGAGTGTGGTGGGAGTGGTGTCGGGAAGATGCGGGTGAGGGTAGAGGTTGTAGAGGAGGGCGGCATGGTAGAGGGCGTACCCCCAGAGTGAGAGTGGTGCGTTGGAGTGGCTGAGGAGGCAGCGGGTGATCTGTGCCATGCCAACGTGTGATTGCGGCTCTCTGCGATGCCGTTCTGCTGCGGGCTGTCAGGAAGGGTGAAGTTTTGCAAGATACCGAAAGAGGAGCAGAAGGCTTTGAGTTTGTCGTTGCAGAATTCGCCGCCACCATCCGAATGGAGGCGCTTGACCTTGATGCCAAAGCTGGTCTGTGCCTGGTTAACCCACGCTATGATGACCTCAGGAGCCTCAGCCTTAGTGTGGAGGAGGTGCACAGAGACGTAGCAAGAGTGGTCATCAACTATTGCTAGGAAATAACGATAACGGCCTCGTGCGGCAACAGGGGCAGGGCCCCAGACGTCCATGTGCACTAGGTCCAGTGGGGCTGCTGCGACTGAGGGTGAGGCAGGGTGGGGCTGTTGGCGTAGCTTGCTCTTGGTGCAGTCAAGGCATGTGGGAGCGGGAGAGTCAGGTGGTGGAGGGAGTGAGGCTGGTAGGCCGAGAAGAAGTTTCTTGGAGGCCATGTCAGCGAGCGTGCGGAAGTTTGGGTGCCCGAGTCGATGGTGGTAGAGGATGGTCGGGTAGAAACTGCGACATGGGCATGGTGTGATAGTGGGCTGTGCTTGGGTGGTTGATACCTGTGGGATAGGTACACGCAGCGTGTAGAGATTGCTGCTGTTGAGGGTGAAGCGAGCTAAGACCTTGTTGGTGAGAGGGTCAATGACGTCACAATAGTCCTTGAATTCCGAAATTATGGTGCGGAGCCCAGCCTTCTGAAGTTCTTGTTGAGCCAGTAGATTGTGGCGCAGTGAGGGCACGCACATCCCAGTGACAGTGCTGGATGGGAAGGCGGGGCATGGGACAGTGGACGAACCCTTGGCAAAGGTGGTGAAGCTTGAATCAGCTCCCAAGAGAGGAATGGGTGTTGAATAGGGTTTGAAGGAGAGTGTCTCCTTGAGCACTGTGTGGGTGGCCCCGCTGTCGAGTGTGAATTCTATGTACTGTGGTGCCTGTGGTGAGCCGATGTGCTGTCAGGTTGCTTCATTGATCATGGCGATGCCAGGGATCAACAAGTTGATGGTTGCTGAGGCGAAGGCCATGGTGAAGAACCTCTTTGTTGCACGAAATGTCTCTCTTAAGTCACCAATAAGAACTTCGGGTTTAGGGTTTACGAAGGAGAATTGCAAAGTAGGGTTTATGAAGGAGAATTTTGGGGAGAGGTTTAGCGATTCCGAAATCCGAAGGTCCCGAAGAGCGAAGAACGTTAATGTTGGCCGCTTCAAGATGTCTCGTAGAAGGTTTAAGGCCGACGAAAATAGGTTGAAACGGCCGATTTTGGTAGTGTCGACTAACTACTAACCCTGTTCCCACACACCCCCCCACACACCACCCTCAGCTTCGCGGCTACACTGCTGCTCAGCTTCACTGCTACACGGCTGCTCAGCTGCGCGGCTTCACCTGTTCAGCTGCACGGTGATGGAGGTGCCGTTGCGGGGCGACGGGCGGCAGCCCGAAGGTGACGCTGCAGGGCGACGGGCGGCAGCCCGAAGGGAAGCTGCAGGGCGACGGACGGCAGCCCCAAGGGAAGCTGCAGGGCGACGGGCGGCAGCCCGACGATTGACGAGGTGGGAAAAATTGGGTTACGCTAAAGCGGGAAGGACGGCGGGACAAAGCCGCGGTGATGAGGGAGAGTGACGAGGAAATGGTAGCTATGGTTACCTTAAGCGAGACGCAGAAATCGGTGCCTCGTAACTGAAGGAAAGGTAGTGTGGGAGAGAATCTACCCACGGAAGATGTCGCGAATCAACGGCGACGAAGACGGCGCGGGAAAAAATCCGGCCGGGAAGAAGATTAGGTCGATGACGATGCTTTACGTCGAGCGATGAATGTTGAAGGCGGCTTCGCCTAAGGGTGCGGGAGAGGATTCCGCAAAGGTAAAAGAATCAAGATCCGCATGTGCGGTTGAAGAGCTCTGATACCATGTTAGAACTTGAGCTTAGAATCCATACATTAGTAATGAGCTCAAGGCTCTTTAAGTACATCGGAAATGGGCAAGGTAAGGATGGGGAGAGAATCGGGGGCAATCCTAGGGGATTGGGGGTAATCCCAAGGCAATCTCCAATTGGTGGGTTGGAGATTGCTTGGAGATCACATTTGGGTTTGGTTGGGATGTGGGTGTACACCCAACCAAACACAAAGTGCACACTACACTAGGATATAAAAGTACAAGTACAAAATGTGAGATTGAGGGCTAACACTAACAAAGTGCAGTGAGCGGCAATGGTGGGGGCCTGAATCCCCCAGGGTAAGTGCAGTGAGCGGCAATGGAGGGGGCCTGAATCCCCCAGGGTAAGTGCAGTGAGCGGCAATGGTGGGGGCCTGAATCCCCCAGGGTAAGTGCAGTGAGCGGCAATGGTAGGGGCCTGAATCCCCCAGGGTAAGTGCAGTGAGCGGCAATGGTGGGGGCCTGAATCCCCCAGGGTAAGTGCAGTGAGCGGCAATGGAGGGGGCCTGAATCCCCCAGGGTAAGTGCAGTGAGCGGCGATGGTGGGGGCCTGAATCCCCCAGGGTAAGTGCAGTGAGCGGCAATGGTGGGGGCCTGAATCCCCCAGGGTAAGTGCAGTGAGCGGCAATGGTGGGGGCCTGAATCCCCCAGGGTAAGTGCAGTGAGCGGCAATGGTGGGGGCCTGAATCCCCCAGGGTAAGTGCAGTGAGCGGCAATGGTGGGGGCCTGAATCCCCCAGGGTAAGTGCAGTGAGCGGCAATGGTGGGGGCCTGAATCCCCCAGGGTAAGTGCAGTGAGCGGCAATGGTGGGGGCCTGAATCCCCCAGGGTAAGTGCAGTGAGCGGCAATGGTGGGGGCCTGAATCCCCCAGGGTAAGTGCAGTGAGCGGCGATGGTGGGGGCCTGAATCCCCCAGGGTAAGTGCAGTGAGCGGCAATGGTGGGGGCCTGAATCCCCCAGGGTAAGTGCAGTGAGCGGCATTGGTGGGGGCCTGAATCCCCCAGGGTAAGTGCAGTGAGCGGCAATGGTGGGGGCCTGAATCCCCCAGGGTAAGTGCAGTGAGCGGCAATGGTGGGGGCCTGAATCCCCCAGGGTAAGTGCAGTGAGCGGCAATGGTGGGGGGCTGAATCCCCCAGGGTAAGTGCAGTGAGCGGCACTGGTGGGGGCCTGAATCCCCCAGGGTAAGTGCAGTGAGCGGCACTGGTGGGGGCCTGAATCCCCCAGGGTAAGTGCAGTGAGCGGCAATGGTGGGGGCCTGAATCCCCCAGGGTAAGTGCAGTGAGCGGCAATGGTGGGTGCCTGAATCCCCCAGGGTAAGTGCAGTGAGCGGCAATGGTGGGGGCCTGAATCCCCCAGGGTAAGTGCAGTGAGCGGCAATGGTGGGGGCCTGAATCCCCCAGGGTAAGTGCAGTGAGCGGCAATGGTGGGGGCCTGAATCCCCCAGGGTAAGTGCAGTGAGCGGCAATGGTGGGGGCCTGAATCCCCCAGGGTAAGTGCAGTGAGCGGCAATGGTGGGGGCCTGAATCCCCCAGGGTAAGTGCAGTGAGCGGCAATGGTGGGGGCCTGAATCCCCCAGGGTAAGTGCAGTGAGCGGCAATGGTGGGGGCCTGAATCCCCCAGGGTAAGTGCAGTGAGCGGCAATGGTTGGGGCCTGAATCCCCCAGGGTAAGTGCAGTGAGCGGCAATGGTGGGGGCCTGAACCCCCCAGGGTAAGTGCAGTGAGCGGCAATGGTGGGGGCCTGAATCCCCCAGGGTAAGTGCAGTGAGCGGCAATGGTGGGGGCCTGAATCCCCCAGGGTAAGTGCAGTGAGCGGCAATGGTGGGGGCCTGAATCCCCCAGGGTAAGTGCAGTGAGCGGCAATGGTGGGGGCCTGAATCCCCCAGGGTAAGTGCAGTGAGCGGCAATGGTGGGGGCCTGAATCCCCCAGGGTAAGTGCAGTGAGCGGCAATGGTGGGGGCCTGAACCCCCCAGGGTAAGTGCAGTGAGCGGCAATGGTGGGGGCCTGAATCCCCCAGGGTAAGTGCAGTGAGCGGCAATGGTGGGGGCCTGAATCCCCCAGGGTAAGTGCAGTGAGCGGCAATGGTGGGGGCCTGAATCCCCCAGGGTAAGTGCAGTGAGCGGCAATGGTGGGGGCCTGAATCCCCCAGGGTAAGTGCAGTGAGCGGCAATGGTGGGGGCCTGAATCCCCCAGGGTAAGTGCAGTGAGCGGCAATGGTGGGGGCCTGAATCCCCCAGGGTAAGTGCAGTGAGCGGCACTGGTGGGGGCCTGAATTCTCCAGGGTAAGTGCAGGCTGAATTCCTTGAGTGGTAAAGTGAGGTGGAAGGGGGCTGAAACCCCCTGGGTACAGTTTGGGATAATTCCAGTGTAGTATGATACAGCGGTATTATACGGTGTGGTATGATGCAGCGGGGTCTGATATAGGTGGAGTGATACAGGTGGTGTGATACAGTGTGTTATCATAGGGTTTGGTGTGATTCAGTGTGGCATGATGCAGCCAGGTTGGATGCACAGTGGTATGATACAGTGTAGCTTGTTACTGTGTGACATACTGGGGTGTGCCATTGTATGGCATGGTGTGGCATGTCATTTTGTGGCATGGCATGGTGTGGCATGTCATTTTGTGGCATGGCATGGTGTGGCATGTTATTTTGTGGCATGGCATGGTGTGGCATGGCATGTCATTTGGTGGCATGGCATGGTGTGGCATGTCATTTGGTGGCATGGCATGGTGTGGCATGATAGCATGCCATATCCAGGCTGGCAGCATCTGGAGGGCAGTGGAGCACGATGGAAGGCAAGGAAGACAGTGTGGGAGGGAAGAGGAGGGAAGTGGGGTCGGGGAGTGGAGGTGTGCCATGCGGCAAGCATGGCTGCCTCACCTGCCAAGCCCTTCCTATGCGTTGACGCAGAGGGAAGAGGAGGGAAGAGGGGCTGGGTTGGGGAGTGGAGGTGTGCAATATGGCAAGCATGGTTGAGCGCAGAATGAGTACAGATGCTGTGGTTCACTATGTACATTTTTGTAGAATATACCTAGATGTCAAAAGCTGTGTGTGTATGCCTTTTATAAACCTGCAGAATGTCAGTGAGAAGTATTTCACTTGGAATTATTATCTCGACTACTTTGTTTTGTTAACAGATTGTGATAATTTAACCTTTTTGCGCGTGATACCAGTAAGTGTTCTTCAAGTATTCTGGGTTCATACCCCGGAGTCAGGCCTGTCGTTTCGTTTTGGGCCCCCCGGACAAATCAGGGGGCCCGGCATGTATGACCCTGTATTTAGCAGGGCTGGGGCGAATCTCGGCCCTTCAGGCTTCAGGGCTGGAAAAATTTTCTCCCTTGAATCAGGTTTGGCGCGGAAAATTTTGGAGCCTCATTTCAATACCAAGGTAACAACTACGTCTGAGATGAACCACAACAAGCAAACACGACAGAGAATTAGTTAGCGTCATATCACTACGCACGCTTTGCAGGCTTCCTAGCCTTTGCAGAACTGATGATCTTGTGCACTTCTACCCACTCCACCACAGGATAGTTCTTGTGCACTTCTACCCAACTTTAACCGTCTACCCACTCCACAGAGAGCGAGCTATGATTGGCTCAAGCACAAGTTCTAGGTTGAGTTGAATTTGGGCCCAACCACGCAACTCGAAATTTGCCAGGTTGGATGCAATCAGGTTAGAAACGAAGGGGAGAGGAGAGTGGAGGAGTGTTGGGGGGGGGGGAGGGGGGGGGAAGGGGGGGTTCGAAGGATTTTGTTCCAGGGCTCGCCTAAAATCTACCCTTTACACACCAGGCCTAAGCCCGAAATCAGCCCTGTAAAGAATCAGGGCCAGAATATTTCCAACCCATCAATTTCAAGGTCCAGCAGGGCAAACGCCCTGCAAGCGACAGCCCTGCCCGGAGTGTATTGAGTCGGCACGACCTGACTGGCAGAGCACGTAAAGCAAAACCCTTGGTTTTCCCATTTGGATTAGGGCAAACGTGTGGTTTTGTAGTTTTCGGCTTTCCCAGCCAGCTCTACAAACGAGAGCCGTAGCCGATCTTGAGCTCTCCGTTGAGCTCTATTGACGGAAGGAGATCTCTCAGTCTCGGTCTTGCTGCTCGTTCGAACGTTACGCCCGCCATGGGGAGATCAGAGAACCCGCGGGTGTTTTTCGATATATCAATGAGCGGGAATAAGGCTCAGCGTGTTGTGATGGAGGTGCGGTCAAGGTTCCAATTTCGCTTTTCGATATGCTCGCCGCTTGTTGTAATTCTCCTTGCTGCCAGCCTTTCATTGGGTCCGGACTTTCGGGTCGATTTTAAAGTCAACTCATTTTTCTCCTGGCTCTCGATCAGTGATCCTTTCTCATGTATTTTCCCATTCGCGGCCATCGCGGTAACTCTCTCTGAGCGCTTGACCGACATTGAGCTCCATTAACCCTCCGCTACCTCGCAGCTATTCGCGGATGTGGTGCCGCGTACAGCGGAGAACTTCAGAGCGCTTTGCACGGGTACGTCCGTTTCTCCCTTTGCTACGATCTGGTTTCATGGTGGTCACGATAACAGTCGGATCGCCACATTTTATCAATGGTTACCAGCTAGCTTTTCGCGTCCGTGAAATAGCGCGCTCCTCTCCCTCTCCCCAAGTTCCTCCCCCCCTACCTTCTTCCCCTCCCACCCGCTTTTCTTCCTACCGCGACCTTGTTAAAATGCGCCATGACATTACAATTCATTATCCTGACATGCGTTGTTGCATCTGACCTACTGTCTGTACTCTTTGCGGGTCAACGCGCGTGGCAGGGGAGATGGGAGAGGGCAAGTTCACGCGCAAGCCGCTCCATTTCAAGGGCACCGTCTTCCACCGCGTCATCCCGGGCTTCATGGCGCAGGTGCGCTCGCTCTCCCGCCCTCCTTAATGGCACAGCTGCATTCGTTTTCAATTACTCCCTGCCTTCGTTTTCATTCCCGTTCCCGTCCCCTCTCCCAGCCCCTCTCGTCGTCTACCTCAATATCAAGTAGCCCGTTCTGTGTCCTGTCATCGGTTCAAACAGCGAGTCCCCTTCCACATCCCCCTCCTCCATTCCCCCTCTTGCTCTCCCTCCCGGTGCCTCCGTGTGCGTACGCCGTCGGGCTCCCTCAGGGCGGCGATTTCAGCAACAAGGACGGTACGTCCTTTCCGTTTTCCTTTCCGACCGCGCTCATGATTCTCATCCCCCTCTCCGCCTTCGCGTCAATTTGCCGTCAAAAGCCCGAACCACTCACTGTTCACCGTTATGATCGCCGCTCGGATCGACGCGCCACGGATCACGTGCTCACTCGCTCACGTGCTCACTCGCTCACGTGCTCACTCGCTCACGTGCTCACTCGCTCACATGCTCGAACCTGAGTTTTGGGGCCCTGTGACTGTGACCTATTAATATTGTTCTCAATCGTTCCTTCCGCCATTGTTTTCCCCTGGTCCCCTTTCCAAAACCCCTCCCCGCACATACACATGCGCGCCCGCAAACTGGCCACGGTGAAAACAACTGCTGGTGGTTCAGGCACGGGAGGAGAGAGCATTTATGGCGGCAAGTTTGCAGGTCAGTCAGACCGCGTGCCTCGCTCATTGCATCCCTGACCCCCTTCCCTTCGGAAATGCCTAGCTTTTTGCTGTAATTTATACCCGCGCACTATGCATCCGCGCACCACGTACCCGCGCACTATGCATCCGCGCACCTCGTACCCGCGCACTATGCATCCGCGCACCACGTACCCGCGCACCCTGCCTTGCGTATGCCGTTGACCCGGTTGGCGAGAGCTATTCTTTCGCGCTCCCATGCATCCACTGTTCCATTCCATTCCCTGCCTTGCATCCCCCGCCCCCACGCCCCCCACCCCCCCCCCTCCCCACCCCTTCTCCTCTCCCCGCTCTCCTCCCCTCCTCAACCCTCCCTCCTCTCCTCCCGCTCCCCTCTCCACTCACACTCCACTCCGCCCGATCCCCCGTCCCCCACTCCCCCTTCCTCCGCGTGCGGGCTGCGTTCTCCCGTTTTCCACCAAACCCCAACGGCAGACGAGAGCTTCAAGCTGCCGCACGCGGCGGCGGGAACTCTGTCCATGGCGAACGCGGGCCCCAACACGAACGGCAGCCAGTTCTTCCTCACCTTCAAGGCCACCCCGCACCTTGATGGGTGCGTTGTAGGCCGGGGGAAGGGGGAGCGAGGGGGAGAGAGAGGGGGAGAGAGATGGGGAGAGAGAGGGAGAGAGAAGGGGAGAGAGAAGGGGAGAGAGAAGGGGAGAGAGAAGGGGAGAGGGAAGGAGAGAGAGGAGGAGAGAAGGAAAGTGAGAGAGTGAGAGGGAGAGGCTGGGAAATTGAGAGCAGTGAGAGACGGACGGGGAGGAGGTGGGGAGCGGGGAGGAGAGCTGTGGCACGTCTGAGACTGAATCTGTTTTGCCTGACCGTTTCCCAGCCCACCAGCACCATCCCGCTGTTCTTGATTTGCGTTCTTCCCCCTCTTCCCCCATCGCTCCTCTTCCCTCTTTCTCCCTTTCCCCTCCGCGGCCCCTTCCCCCCCTCACCCCCGGCTAGCGTCTCCCGTTTTCCAAGCACCCCCCCGTCCCCCCCACCATCCCACCATCTTTTCCCCCTCCCTCGCGTGCGCAACAAGCACGTGGTTTTTGGGCGAGTGGTGGAGAGGGAATGGAGGTGGTGCGAGCCATGGAGAGCCAGCCCACACGGTTGAGTGCCTTGCACTTCCGCTTCCTCACCACTCATCCCCCTCTTTCCACTTCCTTCCTCTTCCCTTTTCCTTCCCCCATACCCCCTCCCCTCCCCCAATCCCCCCCTTGGACCCCCATCCCTCCCCCTTTCCCTCTTCCCGCTCCCCTCTCCACCTTTCCGCTCGTTGCCTCCGCAGCAAGCACGTGGTGTTCGGGCAAGTGGTGGAGGGGATGGAGGTGGTGCGAGCTATAGAGAGCCAGCCCATGGGAGACAGGGACCGCCCCGTCTTCCCCATCAAAATCACCAAGTGCGGCCAGCTGCCTGCTGCTGCTGCTGGCGGCGAAAAGAGTGGGAAGAGCGGGAAGAAGGCGCGCGGAGAGGAGAAGGAGAAAGTGGAGGAGGGGGACGAGGAGGATGATGAGGGTGGGAAGGGAGGGAAGGGCGGGAAGAGCGGGAAAGGGGAGGAGAAAGGGAAGGAGGAGAAAGGGAAGAAGCGGCGGCGGGGGGAGAGTTCTGAGGAAGTGAGTGAGGAGGAGGAGGAGGAGGAGGATGAGGAGGAGGAAGAGGAGGAGAAGGGACGTAGCAAGGGAAAGAAGAAGAAGAGTGGTGGGAAGGGAGGTGGCAGTAAGGGGAAGGGTAAGAAGGCGAAGAAGGGAAAACAAGGGACGAAGAAGAAGCGTGGGAAGGACGGTGGGAAGCGTGGGAGTAAGAGGAGGAGAAAGGATGAGTCTAGCAGTGACGACAGTAGCGAGAGTGACTCTGACGAGTCGTCTTCTTCTGATTCCGATGCTAGTTCGGACTCCCAAACCAGCTCGTCAGGCTCGGAAGGCTCGTCAGATAGCCGAAGCTCAGAGTCAGGCTCGGAATCTGACAGCAGCAGCTCTGATGGGAGTGAGAGGAAGAGGAAAAAGGGAAAGGGGAAGAGGGTTGGGAAGGGGAAGGCTCGTGGAAAGGGGGCTGGTAAGAAGGAAGATGAAAGGAAGGGGAAGGGGTCCGGGAAGGGCAAGGGGAGCGAGGGAGGGGATAAAATTAAGGGGAAAGGGAAGCATGGGAGTGGGAGGAAGGATGACGATGATTGGGAGGTGAATGAGGAGGAAGAAGGGAAGGGGAATGGGAAGGGGAAGGATAAGGAGAAGGGGGAGGGGAAGGATAAGGAGAAGGGGGAGGGGAAGGGGAGGGAGAAGGAAAAGGAGAAGGGGAAGAAGGCAGGGAAGGGCGAGGAGATGGGAGATGGCAAGGAGGGGAAATTGAAGGTGCAGGGGTCGAAGGGTAAGGGGCAAGAGGAGGATGAGAGTGAGGATGAGCAGAGGAAGGGGAAGGGGCGAGGTCGGGGAAAGGAGGTGGAGGGAGAGGAGGGGAAGAAGGGAACGAAGCAGGTCCAGGAGAAGGGCAGAGGCAAAGGGGAGAAGGAAGGGCGAGGAGGAAAGGGCAAGGGAGGGAGCACGCGCAAGGGGAAGAAGAAGAGGTATGATAGGTGGGAGTGGAAGGTGAAGACCTTTAGAGGCGCCTTAATAGAAGTGGTACGTTAGGTGGGATGGGAAGGTGAAGGAATGTGGTGGTGGGTGCTTTGACGCAGACTCTGTACTTGTATTGTATGGCATTGCCAGGTAGGCTGTTAGAGTCACACGCACTGTGCACGCTGTCAGGTTTTGGTTTGCATAGCCAACTGCTTGAATGCTCTGAGGTGCGCTCTCAAGTGAGCTCTCAAGTGCTGTGGTTAGACTTGTCTGTGGGAAAGCAAGCTGGGTTCGTGGCGTGGTGGTGTGTGTGTGTGGCGCTGTAGAGGCGAGGCTCACATGGTCAAGTGCTCTCTCAGGTGCTGATACTGCGGAGTCGTGCCTCCCTATACGGTGTTGTGTGTTGCCATATGGTCCTGTGTGTTGCTGTATGGTGCTGTGTGGTGCTGATGGTCCTGTGTGGTGCTGCGTTGCAGTAAGTACTCGGACGAGGAGGAGTCAGACAGTGGTGCATCCAGATCGTCTAGCGAGAGCAGCAGCAGCAGTGAGGACGAGGAGGAAGAAGAGAAGCCACCTCGCAAGGACAAGGGTGAGTCAAAAGACAGGAAGAGGCGGGGGGAAAGGATGGGGGTGGGGGGGAGTGGGGGGGAGTGGTGCATCCAGATCGTCTAGCGAGAGCAGCAGCAGCAGCAGTGAGGACGAGGAGGAAGAGAGGCCGTCTCGCAAGGGCAAGGGTGAGCCAAAAGACAGGAAGAGGAGTGGGGGTAGGGTCGGATAAGAGATTATGGTTGTTTGAGACGTCATGAAGCCCTGGATTGTGCAGGGTTTAGGGTGTGCGGATGGGGAGGGGAGGGGGAGGGGAAGAAAGGGGGGAGGGGGAGGGGAAGGGCGGGGAGGAGGAGGATGGGGATGCGGATGGGAGGGGAAGAGTGGGGGTAAGCATGGGAATGAAGAGGTTGCCAGTTGCACTCTTCGCACTGTGAACTACCTGCTCTGCTGCTAGTTGTTGCTTCCTCATCTCTAGCTCCCTGGCCTTCATTATGCGCTTCTGACTGCTTTCTTGCCCTACATTGTGTTGCGGACTGTGGTGTGCTGTGTGATGCTTTGCTGTGCGGTGTGTTTCTGTGCTGTGCTGGTGTTTAATTCCAATGGACTGGGTGGTGCTGGTGTGCAGGAAAGGGCCACGGGGTCAAAAAGGCTGAGCAGGAGTCGGGAAAGCGAGACGGGAAGGAGAAGGGTGATAAGGGAAAGAGCAGTCAGAAGAATCGAGCAGAGAGGAAGGAGAGCAGTGGCGGGCGCAAACCCCAGGCACAAGAGATAGAGGCAGAGCGTGAGGCAGAGCGTGAGGAGGAAGGTGGGAAAAGGAAGGGCAGAAAGCACTTGGGGAAGGTCGATGCAGACACAAGGGAGGACGGAGTGGGTGATGGGGGGGATGATGGAAAGGCAGAGGCGAGGAGAGAGGAGGCGGGTAGCGATAGCGACAAGCCAAGAGGGAGAGCTGGGAGAGAGGATCAGGAGACTGCTGTTGAGAAGAAGGCAAAGAGGAAGGGGAGTGACAGGATGAAAGGGGATGATGGTGGCAGGGGTGATGATGTTGTGGAGAAAGAGATTCTGGAGGAGGGTGGAGCGGAGCAGGAAGGAGGTGTGGTGGAAGAGAGGCGTGTAAAGATGAGGGTTGAGGGAGGAGGCACGGGGAGGCGGGGATTTGGTCGAGGGAACGCTGAGGATAACGAGGAGGAGGAGGAGAAGAAGGAGAAGAAGGGGGAGGACCAGGTGGAGGAAGAGGATTGGGGTGGGGATGTGGATAGGATGGCAGTGGAGATAGACAGGGGCGTGGATGGAGGAGGAGGAGGAGGAGGAGGACAGGGAGGTAAGGCGAGGGAGAGAGATGGCGCAAGCAGAGGGAGGTTGCTGAAGAGAAGCAGCGGCGGCACAAGAAGCAGGTCACCTTCCCGCTCTCCCCGCCGCTCCCTCTCTCCCAAGAAATACCGCTCCCCTCCTCGCTCGCGCTCGCCTTCCCGCTCCCCGACCCCGCCTCCTGCACGCAAGCGCGCTGCTGGGAGTATGCATGACAGGCTGGGTGGCAGGCTGGGTTCAGCTCCTGCTGCGGCAGCAGCTGCTGTTGTCGCTGCTGCTGCTGCTGCCGCTGCTGCTGACACTGCCGCTGCTCTTCCAGCAGGAGTAATCCCGCCTGTTGAAACGCTTACCCCTGCCTCAGCAGCAGGTGGTGATTCCGCTGCTGCTGCTGCTGCTGCTGCTGCTGCTGCTTATGGTGGTGAAGCTGGGGGTGGTGGAGGTCCGTTGCGGGTGCGCAAGGGCAGGGGGTTCTCCCAACAGTTTGCCTTTGCTCGCAAGTACCGCACTCCCTCTCCCTCTCCTGAGCCGCTCCCGCCTGCAAGGTTCAGAGGCAGGGGCTATGGAGGCGGGTATGGGGAGGGCGGCAGGGGGAGGCTTTATGGCCGCAGGTGAGAAGGGGTCGTGTCGGCAGGCGGTGTTGTCTTGACAGGTAGCATGGGCAGTGCTGCATGTGTGCATGGTGCGATGTGGTCGTTACCTAACATGCGCTGTGCTGTAGTGGATCTTTTAAACATGCGAAATGGGCTCTATCTACTCATTGCTGAATGAACCCTGAATGCGTGCTGAATGTGATCCAAGCCTCCCGACTATCCCTCCCATTCTCTCCCCACCATTGCAGCGAGTATGACGAGCCCAGGGGAGGGGGTGGTAGTGGATGGGGCAGTGGAGGGGGGCGGTACCGGGACCGCAGTGACAGCCCTCCTCCCCGCAGGAGGAGCCCTGATTGGTCGAGAAGCCCCCCGAGAAGGAGGGGGCAGGGACGGGGCAGGTGAGAGGCCAAGGCGCGGGTATTCACTCGGTGAATAGGAACTGCAGGAAATGCACTCCAGTGATTGCTCGTTGCTCGTTGCTCAGAGCCGCATGCGGCTCTCTCTCTGCGCGTTCTACTGTTTGATGTGTGTGCATGATGATTAAGTCACTGGGCTCACCTCACCTTGTCTAGTTGCACACGGAGGGGGATTTGCGAGTATCAGTGCGTGCTCTATTTGCAGTTCCCTTGCCTCATCTGCCCATAATGTTCCCGCCACCCTAATGACCTGTCTGTCACTCCCTTTACTAGGTACCAGTCTCCTTCCAGCTGCAGCACCTCATTTTGAGGCGCCTCAAAAGCCCCCCCACCATAACGCCCCCCCCGATCCTAATGTTCCCTCTACCAGGTACCGGTCTCCTTCCAGCCGCAGCACCTCCTACAGTCGTAGCCGCAGCCGCAGCCGCAGCCGCAGCCGAAGCTACACTCCTCCCCGTGCTCGCACCACTACACGTGCCCGCTCCCCCGGCCTCTCTCGATCCCCCCCTCCCCGTCGCTCTGCCCGTGACAAACTCACCACTCGCGATGCCAGCCCCCTCAGGGGAGCAGCAGAGACTGCTGTTGGTGGTGGTGGAGGTCTGACCACTGTGAGGCGGACACGTGGCACTGCAGGATTGGATGGGGATCAGGGAGGAGGTGGTGGTGGCAGGGCAGGCGAGGGGTCGAGCCTTAACGGCACAGGGGTGGCAGGAGCAGCAGCAGGAGCAGCAGCAGGAGCAGGAGGAGGAGATGGTGGAGTGGGGACAGTAGCTTCCCTGTCTCCTGTGGGAATGAGGTCTCCCAAGGAGACCAGTGGAGGTGGTTTTGGTTCAGGGAATGCTGCTGATGCAGGTGCTGCTGGTGCTGATGGTGCTGATGGTGAGCGTCCAGTGCGACTGGGTGGCAGGGAGGGCAGGTTGAGGAGGCAGCGGGAGGATGATGATGAGGATGAGAGTGATTGATTGTCTGCTTTGTGACTGCTCTGGTTGGGCTAGCTGAAGTGGGTTGGATGCATCCTTCCAACCAGCTAGAATAAGTGTTTCCACCTTGCTTGCTACCAGATTGGAGTATTTACGTTAACAGGTAATGACCAGGGGAAAATCGAGGACTGAAGAGTTACCAAGTAGGTACCTACCTAGTATCTGCCGGTTTAGCTCCGCTGTGATTCATGCAGAGTCACTATCGGTTTGGTTCTCGACCTAGACGTGAATGGGGCATGAAATATGGTGCAATTCTGGCACTATGGGTTTGGGGCTCAACCTAGCAGTGGTTCACGCAGACAAAGGCAGACAGTTTTTTATCTTGGTTGCATGTTCCCCCTTCCCCCTTTCCCCACCCTCCCTCCCCTCATCCCACCTTCCAAAAATCATTTCCAAGTCCCTCACCCCCACCCTAACTCACCCATACGAGATCCTCATTATTGGTGGTCCGTCATTACCCGTTTTTCTCATTGTCAAGCCTACAATACCGGCATATGTAAGTACTCTTTTTGTTATCACACATTGAACCATTTTAAAGAGTGATACCCTAGATTTTTCTTGTATTTCCTTGATGTAGGTTATACAATAGGTTATTTTACAGTGCATATCGTAACTGCATCATAAAATATATTAGCTCCGCTGTTTCTGATATGTGACGTAAGCAAGACTCCTTGCAGAGAGTGCAAGCGGTAGCCAGCTTGCTGTTTGCTGCTGACGTGGCCAGCAAGCTTTCGATTGGAGGTGTTGCTCACATTCGATTCAACGTTCAGAAAACACCTGACACGGCCGTTCAGGTCCAGTCGGCTACGCGGACATTATCCAGACGTTGGGCATTGCGGAAAGTTTGCGCAAACACAATGCGTGTGACCAGAGTCGTTTCGCAATGGCGGAGAGTATGCAGCTCGCGGTTAGGTCTGCGCAAGGGAACAGGTTCCGACAGAACCAGTCAGGCGCTGACGCAACTGAGCTGCAATGTGGGTTGTTTCAAACCGGAGCACTGGGGAGGGACATAGCTGCACGTTCCTGAGATGGACCCCAATGTTTTTTTCGCCAAGGCGTTTCCCTGAAAGCGATCGTTTCGATCAGCCACGTTGTGAACAGTTCACCGCTGCACTGATTCGCGTGAAACAAATGTTTCAGCCGACCCACCTGACCGGTGATGGTGGACTCAGAGCCACAAAAGGACGCAAGGTCTGTTGGTCATCTCCCTCGCGAAGTGCGGATCAGATAGTACAAAGTTCAGAAATCGAAGCGCAGGATATTCCTTCTTCGAGGATGCTGTTGAGCGTCGTACAAAGATTCGCAAGGCTGGCACAGTCTCACCTGAAACGGTCGCAATTGTTTCGTGAACTTCACATGAACGGAACGGCCTCATTCCAACATTTCCGTAGTTTTCACCTGACGCGAGGGCCCCAACTTTCCCGTTCGTCTCCTCCTCTGCCTCATCCACCTCTGGCATTCCACCCTCGTCGTCGCCTGAGTAATGGCTGAGGCATCGTGCAAGTCCCGTGACTGCTGCCTTGTGCTCCTTAGCAAAACCACTTCGCTGTGATGTCGTAGTCTCTGTTCCTGCAACAGAACGCCCACGCACAGCACTGAAGGATTGCTTTCACTGAGGAATTAGAGCCTGGCTGGCTCGAAATACAATGACCTAGGTTTTGTACTAACTTGCTGATCGACCATGGAGGACTTTCTGTAGGGTGGACTTAGAGACCGTAGTTTAGGAGTGGCTGTTCTCGTTCGCCGTGCTTGTTGGTTGGAGGCTGGTAGTGTCACGAAGGAGGACGCTTCACAGGGTTAGCGGGAGCAGCAGTTCAATTCGTCGTCTGTCCGAACCCATAACCGATTGGGATCAGTTCATTCAGCCAAAATCCCCTCAGTCGATAATTGTATTTTCTCTCGCCATATTATATTCCACTCTAAAATAGGCACGCCATGGCTCGCCGTTCAGGAACACCGTACGGACGTTTGATGAACAAACTTCGAAGCCCAGCTCAGATCGTTCTCACTTTCATCATCGGCTTCGTCATCCCCTTCCTCTTCTACGTCTTTCTCGACTCGTCCTTCGATGTTGACATCGCGCCGTATTGTTACGTGTTCGTCGTCTTCATGCTCGTGTCCACGGCCTTCGTCGTGTGGGTGGAGTGCTTCCTCGCCGTGTTTATCAAGAACGAGCCTCCCGAGCAGCCCGCATCTCCCTACCCCCCTGCTTCCGCCATCATCGCTGCGTACCTGCCCAATGAGAAAGACACCATCCTGGAAACCATCGAAGCCTTTCTAAACATTGAATACCCGGCACCGCTACAGGTGCGTCTGATTGGGATTTCTTAATCATTATTCGCCAGCAGCCGAGTGTTTTGCCTTTAAACAAACAGATCGCATCTCTCGTCGAATCATGTATTGTCAGTTCAATTAACCACCTCTTCTTTCTCCTCTTCCTTTTCCTCTTCTGCCCTCTGCACTTCGTCCTTCGCACGCCCAGGTCATCTTGGCCTACAACACGCCGAAGGACATGCCCGAAATGGAAACCATCCTTGCCGAAATGGGTCAGCAAAGACCCGACCGCTTTCTGCCGTACCGCGTCGTCCACTCGCGTTCCAAGGCGGAGAACGTGAACGCTGCCGTTAAGCTTGTCCGAGGAGAGTTCGTTGGTGTCTTCGACGCCGATCACTGCCCGTCGCACGACTCGTTCATGCGCGCGTGGAAGTGGCTCAGCAACGGCTACGACATCGTGCAAGGCCACTGCATCGTTCGTAACGGCGAGGACAACCTGGTTGCGAAGCTCGTCGCCGTCGAGTTTGAGACCATCTACGGCATCGGCCATCCCGGCTCTGCTGCCATTCACAACTTCGGTTTCTTCGGCGGCTCTAACGGCTTCTGGAAGTCGGGCCTTCTCGCGCAAATCGGCATGGATGCAGCCATGCTTACGGAAGATATCGACTCGTCCATCCGCGTGCTGCTCGCCGGAGGCAAGATCAAGTCCGACCCCGGTCTCATGTCCTCTGAACTCGCCACCACCACCCTTCGTCAAATATGGAATCAACGGCTGCGATGGGCGCAGGGATGGTTCCAAGTGTCAATCCGGCACTTCACTGCCGTCATGACGTCGCGAAACCTGTCGCTGTGGCAGAAGGTCGGCATGTTCCACCTGTTCGTCTGGCGTGAGGTGTACCCGTGGGTGTCGTTGCAGATCCTCCCGCTGCTCGCGTTCCTCGCGTACAAGATGGACGGCTTCGGCTCAATCAACTGGCTTGATTCGTTCTACCTTGCCACGACGCTCTTCACCTTCTCGTGCGGGCCTGCGCAAGTCGTCGCCGCGTACTTCGTTTCCGCGAAGAGCATTCGGAAGCGGTCGTTGTGGTGGTGGATGTACATTGCCTTCTCCATGATGTTCTACACGGAATTCAAAAACGTGATCGCGCGAGTGGCGCACATCAAGGAGTTCATGAGGGAAAAGGCCTGGATGGTCACGCCACGGATACTCTCCCGACGAAGGCGGACGAGCGGTAAAGGCGGCAAGAAAGGAGTCGTGGTGGTTGTAAGATGAGACTGATTGATTCCATCATGCTCCTCTTCTTCCTTCCAACCATGCTCGGTTGGCCGGAGGGGGTCGGAGCGGGTTTTGGGGAACGGGGGGCCATGTGCCCATTTGTACTTGATATGGGTTAGGCAGCAGCTATCCCTGCCGTCATGGGCAGTTGTATTCCCATCCTAAGCTCTTTAGCGCTCAGGCAGCACTACACGTCTCCGCAATCTGTGTTTGTATTCGACCCCCTCCATTTCGAGCGAAGCACACGCAAGTGCCCAGGCGAGCCGGTCTTGCCATGCTGCCAAATGTTTCGAGATGTAACTAGATTTTATTCAATTGATATTTTTTATTGCAACTTTCGGTGTATTTTGATGCCTTTCTAAAATTAAAAAGTTAAAGCAATATCTGTTCAATTGCTATGGTTAGTTTTCCAGGTGATTCGGGCCTCCGAAAATTATCGTGGTAACCTGGTTCGCTAAGGGTCTCAAGTAGACCAAGTGTTGTGCAGTCGATGAAAAAAGGGCCTGTCTGATTGGTTTACAAATTTGGGGCCAAAGTTTTGTCCAATCGAGACTCGACAAAGAACCAACTTTTCGCCCAAGTGTTGTGCAGTTGCATGGCCAACCCGTACATGAGACCCTGGCTTTAACGAATACGCATTTCGGCCCATTCTTTACTATTCATATAGGTACTATCCACCTATTGGCGACGGTTTCGTTTCCGGCAAATGGATTGTTGCCACATCGGACATACAAAGGACGTTTCGGTTGCAGCCTTCCCTTCCTTCATCGTTCCCACAGTCGAAGGAAAACATCTTCAGCTTGGCAGCATCCTTCGCAGAGGCTGGCGAAAGTAAATCGAAGCGCATTAGGAAGGAAAATAGCGAGGTTCGATCATTCTTCCTCCCCTCATTGGCCTTTCTTCCCCCTCCTGCCCACCACCATCCATCCATCTCGCCCGTTCAATGAAATCCTTCATTTGTTTCGGTGAGAAGCAGCACACACCGGAGAAACTGAAACAACCTCGTGTTGTGAGAGGCCAAAACCGATCGCAATTCCCGCTCCAAGTTCCCACCCACCTGTAAAAATAAAACACAGGCACAAGCGACCATACGGTACCGCCATCGCCTGGCAGGCCGCCTGCATGCAGAAGCACTGAATCACCCACGCGTGCACACTACACCTAGTCCGCGGTATTTTAACCACGTGAACTGTTTCGCTTCAAACACCCTTTGTTCGTTTTCGGGTAATGGGATGGGCACCCAGAGACTTCAAGGCTATTGTTTTGCAGCCAGAATCATTTCCTTCTAAAGAAACTCACACTTAGTGCTCCGAAATAGAGGGCGGATAGGCATTGACCAGGTTTTGACTGCCGTCGTCTCACAAAGGGTATGCTATACTCTACCCTCAATAAAGTTCAAAACTACTCGTATAAAAAAGTTTGACCAAGGAGA